AAAAAACAAGTTTTTGGCTTTATTATAGCACATTGACAGCTATTTGACAGCTGCCAACTGTCAATTTTGAAAATCTAACAACAGATCTGAATTCAGCAACCTCAAAAATATAAACCTAGATAATAAAAAAAATGAAATAGGCTATTTCAAAAGTCTATACACACTGCGCATATACATAAATCCGTGGAGGATATTCGGAGCTTTAAAGCTCTGTACCGGCCAAACTATCCATTTTTGAGCTTTGTGGCCATTGAGACAATTGACCAGTATGATGAACTCTATCACATATCAAAAATTCAGCAAATTTGACCGGGACCCAATTTCCATAAGATTTGTGCGGGGTCCTTTCCAAAACATCCTCAAAAATCAATATTTTAATATTTTTAATAAGTCTGGCAACACGGTATAATTTTACGAAAATATAGAATAGTCATGATAATAATTGGAGCAATCAAATAATAAATTATTTCAATAATCATCCAATGTCATCAACAAGACTATTTAACAGAGAAATAACATTGGGATTATTATTCGAAATGGTGTCCATTTTTGGCTATGCAATAAAGGCACCTTTATAAAATATTATTTGTCACTCACCGAATGGCCATTTTTTCATTCAACGGCATGACATTAATGATAAGCTTTTATAAAAATTTGACACTATTTTTCAAAGTATTGTCTATCGCTAGCTACTTTTTCCCATCTTTCTGACAACATACAGATTCTGCTTCAAGAGAACAATAAGCTAGGGTGGATATGTCGAACTATCCCACTTCTTGGATGTAAGAGGGGGCAATCTAATTTTTGCTGGAATACCTTCAGTACAATTCACATAATAAAAGTGTAGAAGCCTAGATCTGGGCGAGGTCCGCAACATTTTCAAAATAGCAAAATTGTTAAAATTTTTAAAAATACCTATTTTATTTTAGTTTTTTACTTATATCTTGGAACCTATGCATTTTCGAAGAATATTGAAGTGGGAAAAAAGTGTTAGAAGTGAATTTTGCACAATATACTATAAGTTAAAAATGTTTAAATTTATTACCGATGTGGCAAAATAGCAGTAATTGATGAAAAAAAGGCAAAATAATCAAGTTGTTTGGATAATTTTTTTTTAAATATTTTAACTGCTCCGAGGACATTCTAATTTTGATAAAAAAAACTTTACAGTATAATAAAACAACACACTATGTAAATGTCATTAAAATCGGTTCGATAGTTTTCGCAAAAAAAGTTTTCGAATTTTCAAAATATTGCACAGCCTCGAATAAAGCATTTATATACTTGAAAAATTTTTTCACATAGAAAATACCTCTCAGCCTTTCAAATGGTTTTTGAAAAATTAAAATCGGTTGATTAGGACGGCTACAGTAAATTTTTAATGTTAACTCCCTTTTTTTTATATTTAAACAATTAGATTACAATCTATTATCAATTTGCAATTTAGTTTTTTTCAAAAATACAATATACTATATGTTAAAAAATGTTTAAATTTATTACCCACGTTGCAAAATAGCAATAATTGATGAAAAAAAGGCAAAATAATTAAGTGTTTTTGGATAATTTTTTTGAAATACCTATTTTAACTGCTCCGAGGGCATTCCAATTTTGGTAAAAAAAACTTTAGAGTATAATAAAACAGGATAACAAATTTCATACTCATTACATTCATTACAAAAAAAAATATTTCTAAATAAAAAAAATATTTGTTTAAACAAAAATTAATTAAATAATTGTAATAATTATAACTAAATATATTAATGTATTGAAACATATACGTAAACAAATTTTTTCATTGAAAAAATGCAATAGCATAGGGTAAAAATATACAGTATATTTAATGCATAAATAATAAACTTTGTTTATAAAAAGATATGTGCAAAATAGACAGTTGGCATTATGATAATCGAATTCATTGGCTCGCGAGACATCGGATTAAAAAATAAGATTGGTCCATTAGAAGCCGAGAAAATGCAATTTTTTTCGTAGTCTCGAAGCGAAAGCTCCCTCTCCACTTTTCGTGTTTTGAGTCACTTTTCGCGCGTGCGAGCGACAGCTTTTCCGCTGATTTATCTATGTTGCCGATAACTTATGGATATGAAAATTTTTTCCAGCTTAGAACTCAGAAAAACAAAGCCACTTGATCAAAGATTATTGCTAAATTGCTTATAAATTGACGACAAATGCCAATGAACTTTGAGGGCTTATATCTTGAGAACCAATAAACGGAATTTAACTTATTTTTTAAAGAAGCGTCTTTCCGAGTATTTTAAATTTATAATTTTTGAAAAAAACTAAATTGGAAATTGATAAATGTAATCTAATTGTTTAAAAATAAAAAAGAGTGTTAACTTTATTTTACTGTGGCCGTCCTAATCAACCAATTTCAATTTTTCAAAAACCATTTGAAAGGTTGAGCGGTCTTTTCTATGTGAAAATTTCAAGTAGGTATATAGATGCTTTATTCTAGGCTGTGGAACATTTTAAACATTCGTAAATTTTTTTCAAAATTTTTTTCAAAAAATTATTTTGCGAAAACTATCGAACCGATATTAATGTCTTATAGCATATTGTGCAAAATTCAATTCTAAAACTTTTTTCCTTTTCAATATTCTTCCAAAATGCATAGGTTCCAAGATATAAGTAAAAAAACTCAGATAAAATAGGTAATTTTAACAAAATTTTAAACATTTTTGCAATTTAGAAAATGTTTCAGACCTCGCCCAGATCTAGGGATTTACACTTTTATTATGTGAGTTGTACTGAAGGTATTCCAGCAAAAATTAGCTTGCCCCCTATTATATCGAAGTGGGATATTTCGCCAAATGCGCCCGGGTCTATACATGGTAGGAAAGTACCAATGGTCTATCTGAAGTTACGTGAGAGCGATAAAGTAAGCCATAGAAATCCATGCGATAGAGAAGGATGGCTATAATGAAGGCCTCTCATAGTCACCGCCCATTTCGCCCTTCCACAAATAAGATCCACTTTTTATTTGTGGAAGGGCGAAATGGGCGTTGACTATTAGACGCCTTCATTATAGCCATCCTTGTCTATCACATGGATTTCTATGGCTTACTTTATCGCTCTCACGTAACTTCTGATAGACCATCGGTACTTTCCTACACTGTATGTGGTTAAAATTGATATACTGACTGTTACTGGTATTATATACAAGGTGTTCAAAAAAACTGTTACAATCTTCGGAATCTATTGGTAGGCACTATAATTAATAGAATATAAAAATGATTAGAATTTGGTAGTTATATTTCTTTTTCGTTTTTTCTTAGGCTGCCTCGTAATAACTGTATTGATATCGGAAAATATATGTGGTAAGATTTAAATTTTAATCATAAACCTTTTAAAGTAATCTCCAGGAAGTAGCATTAACCTAAATTTATCGAACTACGCTTAGCAAGACCTATCAACCCGTCTTTACTATAAATTAAATAGGTATTTAATTTGTCGCATTGCCAGAAGTAAACAACATGTGTTTGGTGGAGGCATTATCGAAAACAATAAATTTAGATGCTGACAAGTGATTAATGTCAAAGCGGTAAATAATGTGAATGGAGGACGTCTATAAGAAATGCGGCATTAATATTCCTTTCAAGACCGTATTATTAAAATATTATAAAATTAACCACATTCCACGCAGGAGAACGACACATTTCTGTATGGCTAATTAATAATTTGGTAATCGCGCCTGATTTGAATTTATGGCCGCTCAAGGAAATCCACGAAAGAAAGCGCCTAGATGCGTGTCAGAGGTCAGATTTATAAAAAATTGTCTAAGTAACAGAGAGAGATCACTTAAAATATGCAAGCTATTGGAAACGAAACACAAAATTTTTAATTCGAATTATTTTAAGTTCGAAAAAATGAATCAATTAGGCAAAATCGGCCAGTGAGGTGTTAAAATATGAATCCAGCTGAAAATTATGATTCACCTTTTAGTTTCGAGTTCTAATTACCATAAACATGTTTTATAAGATTAGCACAATCGTAATAGGCCCATAGATTTAAGATTGTGAAATATGTTGGAAGCGCACCTCATAATTTTGTCAAGTTCGAGAAATTAAATAAAGTTAAAAGTTTCGCCGTGATTGTGATTGTAGTGGCAAAATATTTTAATTAATTACCAGCAACCCGCCCCGGCTTCGCACGGGCAAATATAAAATAGCCTATGTTACTCCGATTACTCCGAGGAGATGTAGATTTCGGTAAAATTGGTTGAGTAGTTTTTGAGTTAACACGTTCACTGCGTTACCAGTCATATGTATCTGGTAAGTAGCTTTCCGTAGTAGCGGTATAGAAATCTTACATTCTCGTCCATCTAGCGGGGACAACAAAACATTCATTACTAGAAATAGAGTTATGTTACAGATACCTGCATGATTCTCACGATCTGTACTACCCATTTCTGCAATCTAGTGCTACCAGACATCTGTGTCCGGTAACGCACTGCGCAAAAAAATTATCCTGTTATTAAACTACCAGATAGGCGTATCTGGTAGCATTAATTGTGTTAATTTTTTTTACTGTTTCAAAATTTATGTGTGAATTATGACTTCCCGAGGTAAAAAAATGGTTAATTTGGTATGTGAACAGCAATCTAATTTACCAGAAATAGAGATTGAGAAAAGTTAGGAGTCAGAAGTGCCATATAACAATAATGTTGTTATTCAAGAAGTAGATTGTGGTTATGTTCCTTGTAGTTCGGTAGCTGTAACTAAAAATAAAAATGACCTAGATCGGCCTAGTGCCTTACCGGAAATTGAGGTAGAGGAAAATATAGAACCTGAGATGCCAAATGAGAAAGTATTACAAAAGGATGTTACTCAGAATGCTGATAGTGCTTCTAGTACGTCAGGTATTATTACTAAGAATAAAAGCAATCAGCGTGATTTTTCAAGTGATAACGAGTCAGAAGTTGATCCATTTGCTAACTCTTCGGATGAGGACCCAGATTATTTTCCTAGTGATAACAATTCCAGTACTGATGTAGAGCAACTGTCCCAAGAAATAGAGTCAGACGATGAAGCTGAAACTGATGATTCAGAAGAAGAAATTGGGGATATAAGCGGTAAGTTTATAATTCATTAAATAGTGATAAAGTTTATAACTTACTTATTTCATTATTAGGACCAGATGTGTGGAGCACTGTAAAGACAACTAGAAACTTTCATATTGTTGAACATTCTATCGACTGTAAAATTAACATTGAAAATCAGGATGGTTTATCTCCATTAGATATATTTTCACTGTTTATCACAGATGAGATTCTAGAAAAGATTGTAGTGGAGACGAACACGTATGCTCAACAACAACTATTAACACAACGTAGAACACCAAAATCACGACAAAATACCTGGACTCCAACTAGAAAGGGCGAGATGAAAAGATTCTTCAGTATAATTATCTGCATGGGCTTGGTTAAAGTTCCTAATATTAATCTGTACTGGTCAAAAAACAGTTCAAACCATAATCAGTTCATTCCGTCTGTGATGCCCAGAGACAGATTCTTGTCATTACTTCGATATTTGCATTTTAACAATAACGATGGTTTACTAGAAAGTGACGATCGGTTATACCGAATAAGGCCCCTTCTGGATATGATCAATGCAAGATTCATGACTGTAATGACTCCTGGAAGGGACGTCGTTATAGATGAAAGTATGGTGCCTTGGCGTGGTCGCCTAGGGATGCGGCAATATATTAAAAATAAGCGCCATAAGTATGGCGTCAAATTGTATAAACTCTGCACCGTTACAGGATTCACTTACAATGTCAGAGTGTATTGTGGGAAAGAGGATTCAATCGGAAATAAAGACCATTCCCATAAAGTAGTTTTGAAATTAATGTCTGGGTTGCTAGATAGTGGTAGAACTTTATATGCTGACAATTTTTATTCTGGCATTCCTCTTGTAAAGGAGTTATTAGATCGGCAATCTTTGTATTGTGGTACACTCAGGAAAAATAGGAGGGGCCTACCAAGAGAAATCACTAACAAGAAACTGAAGAAAAATGAGATATGTGGACTAGAGAATCAGCACGATATAAAAATAATACAATGGCAAGACAAAAGATCTGTTCTAATGTTATCAAGCAAACCTGAGCATTCTGTTACTTTGTGCAAAACTGGAAAAAAAACTAGGCCTAATAAGAATGGCGAACCCGGCAAAGATATTTTGAAACCCAAAGTTGTATTGGATTACAATAATGCTAAAAAAGGCGTTGACTATAGCGATCAAATGTCCGCCTATTACAGTTCTTTGAGGAAAGGGCTTAAATGGTATCGCAAGGTAGCATTTGAGTTGATATTTGGTGCTGCTATAGTCAATGCCTGGATTGTCTATAATGAAATAAACCACGACAATAAACTTGCACTACTACCATTTCGCGAAAAGCTGGCATTGCTATTATCAAATCAGCAAGATTTTCTACCATCTGAACTTACTGTCAATCCAAAACGGACACATTCGCTGAAAAGAGAGGAAGGCCCTGAAAAAAAACGCCGTAGAAACTGTACGGACTGCTATAAATCACTAAGACTAACAATGAAAAGTAAGGAAGCTGATAAGAAGGTTACCAAAGTAAATACATACTGTGATGACTGCGAAAATAAACCAGCTTTATGTCTAAACTGTTTTAATTTGAGGCACCAGCGATAATATTTTTAATCCTAAGATGTTATTTTTTCATTTTTATAAATAAATCAAATATTTTTTGTTCTTTCATTCAATATTCTATCTGTTTCTTTAATTGCCAATAAATACTTTACCGGACCTCGAAATCTGGTGCGATGGCTGCTGTATATGAAGTGATATGTATACTACCAGATACCGGCATTGGATTTAAGTTTGTTTATAAACGTGCAATTTAAATTGTAATTTTATATCAAATACTCTACCAGGCTAATATGCCTGGTACCGCCTGAATGGTAGCCGGTCGCGCCAGACCTTGAGGTCTGGTAATGTCAGGATAGACATAGTACCAAAAATTACCACCGCAGTGAACGTGTTCAATCAATCATCTTTCATCTAATGCGACCCTAATATTAATTTTAAAATAATTCACGATATATCTATATACCTAAAGACAACAAACGAACTCAAAACTAAAAATGCAAAACCTTTAAATGTAAAACAATATAGGTAACTACCAACAATGTGAAAACAATTATTGTTTGTATAATTGTTTTGCGATTACTCGCTAAGATATTCATTTAAATTATCTGGTGTAAAAGAGTAAAATAATGTGCATGAAATGCTTAAAGCCTCTAACTTATTTAAAATGATAAGGATTAATACCGTATTTGTGTAAATAGCTTATATTACCGCTTTATAATTGCCAATATTTTAAAGTATTAAAATGGATATAGGTAGTAATCTTTAACATATAGACATATGCCATAGCGGACTTTTCTGTAGGCATATAACGAGCGTTCAAATAAAAATGTGGTCAAGTTGGTTCTGAAAATTTGGACGTAGGGCGTAGCGTATAGCAAATGAACTTAAACGTCATCTGTCAAAGCGCTGTATCGCCGCTTTGTTATTGAAACTGACAGCTGCTATACAGATTGTTGATAAATGTGGTTAAGTGGGTCGCTATAAGCTGCGCCCTACGTCCAATGTGTCAGAGCCAACTTCGACCACGTTTTTATTTGAACGCTCGTTATAAGATACACAATTCCACCATACATTGATACACTACATAAACTTTCGGACCCCCCGGCTCGGACGCGAGGCGCGAGGTCACGGGGCGCTCGCGCGGCCCGGTCGAATCACGGCATTATCGTTGCGCATTATTTTGATTTTGCTATATCTCCTAAGGCTAAGGTATTCATTTAATTTGCATGGTGTAAAGGGAAAAAATAATCTTCATGAAATGCTCAAGCCAACTAACGTATTTAAAATGATAAGGATTAATACCGTATTTGTGTAAATAGATTTCCAATTACCGCTTTATAATTGCTCATTTTTTAAAGTATGGATATAGTATCCAATAGATAGACATATGCCATCGCGGACTTTTCTGTAGACCTATATAAGATACACAATTCCACCATACATTATTTTGTTATATCTCAAAGGGTTTAGGCAGCGTTTTCGTTGAAAGCTCCCAGACGGCTTATTTTTTTCCGACACCTCTAACAAATATCGTTAATGTATACAAAAACTTAACAAATTATACACTAAAACCTTCCTCGACAACCACTCTATCCATTGGTGAAAATAGCATGAAAATCGGTGCAGTAGTTTTTGAGTTTATCGCGAACAGACAGACAGACGCGGCGGAGGACTTTGTTTGAGTATATCAGTAGAAAATCAGATAAATGTTAAATGACATTTCCGATACTACCTTATTATCTCAAAAAATGTGTCTCCATGATGTCAATGAAAATACCAAGGTGCTTGTTGATCCTTGTTAAAGTTTTGCTGTGTAATGGGATCTGTAAAGTATTTTTATTTCGAACATTTTGACATTTTTTTAAGTGTAACGATTACCAAAACACACTGCTGTTCTTACAGGTATTAATTTTATTGAAATGAAAATAGTACTGTTAATGAAATATACTATATTTATATAAACATATCTAGTTCACATGCTACAAAACCGATATACGAAAGCGAGAGTGTATCTATGAGGAAATCTATGGAGTATCAGCAACTTACAAGTATATATAGGTACCTAATAATATCCTAGCAATCTTATAAATAAAGATAATGTTCGTTAATTAAATTTTATGGATATTTATTACATCTTACGTGTGATGGTTATTATATCTGCAGAGCAAGTTCTGTATAGGCGATACATATCCAGGGCAGGATACAGCTTCAGAACTCAAATCGTAGAAATACTAAATGAATTAATTTAATATTCAAAGTTGTATTATCATACTGAATTTATTTTTTTACAATGTCTTATTTCTACTTATATTTTTAAAAGCCCAAAACTGCGACAACTATGTATATAAATCTGGATATACTACTTACTGTTAAAACAAAATATTAGTTTCACCTTTAATCCGTTGGCTCTCCGAAATGCAACAGAAAGTTAAAAATAAGATTTAATTTTCAAAATATCTCGCTATGAAGCAATTGAAAGCACGATGAGATACCAAACTATATCATGAAAAAAAAAAAAAAATACAGCCACAGGGTCCAACTGGATTATATGCGAGCTGGATAAAGGATTGTACACACTGAAAGAATAGTTGACGATGAAAAAATGGAGGAGTGATGAAGAAAGTGATTATTCTCTTGAAACTGATGAAAATTTTCTTAAACATGTTGTATGTCCAATGAACTTATTGTCAATTATCAGCAAAATTCATACGATATGAATTGCTACATTATCTAATATTATCAAACGTTATTCGAGTACTTATGAAAAGACTGTGTATAAAACTCAAGCACTTCATGATGATATGTTGCTGTAGTTAGAAGCCTTCTTCTGCGACAGAACATTTAGTGTCCGGGTTTTTGACTTTATTATTACCCATGAGTCCAGTAGTTAGTGGTGTACCTCAGGGATCCGTTTTGGAGCCTCTTTTATACTTAGTATTTATCTAAAGTTTATTTTTGTACTGACAAATACAACACTTCAGTAAGATCTAAACAATACAGCACAGTGATGTGAACTTTGGATGCTTCCTCTTAATGTAAAGAATTGTGTTCTCCACATTAAAAAAAATCTATCTGGCTTCTAGGCCATCTCGCAAAACACACAACTAAAAACTGTAACTTCCCATAATAATCTGGGTATTATTATTACAGAAGACCTTTCATAGTTTGATCAAAAACAAACTCCAAGGTATATCTTTTGAGAAAAATGTTTTCAAAGGTTACTTACATCTCTTGGTTCTGTTCATCTCTACAGTGTTATGTCTGGTATGTGTTGGAATATACTGCCCCATGTGGAACACCAATTTCGTGAGTGACCAGAAGCTGCTCGAATCTGTTCAACGGTGTGCTACGAAATACCCTTTTGGACGTATTCGTCTTATCTACGAAGAAAAGCTATATTTATAATTTGATTGTTGCAAAACAGGTACAGTTCGACCTTGACTTTCATGTTTTTTTTGTACTAATCCATGTTACTACCTATTTAGTTCTCTTTTATATGTTGCTTTTAAAACATTGCAATAAATTAGACGAATTCGTTGTTTTTAAAAGATAATATTTATCTGGCTACATTCTACGTTCCCAGCTTCCTGCCCAATCCGCCACTGCGGGGCTGAATTGGATATGACAGAGACGATTGACACCGACAGTTATGTCGCGTCGGGTTTTAAAACAGTCGGACTTTTAGTGGAAAATTATGCAAACTATATTCACTTGTATCGATTATTACGTTCGGAGTACGCCGCCCCCCTCGCCGCCCCACCGGAGGGAATATATCTCCTTATCTACCTACTGACTTTATGTAACTACTTACTCCAGTTATTGCCTTGGACGAATTTGGAGCGCAGATATAAATTAAAACAAATGCCAACTGGTTTATCGGAGGAGATGGGGGTCTCGTCGGATACAAGTATCGTCGGTGTTACTGTATTATTTTATACAATAGCATCAGTTATTTGGCAAAATCAATTACGAACTAATTTTTTGATGCGTAGTTGTTTTTTTTCAAAATTAATTGTTGCTGTAAGGGTCTAACAAAGCGACATTAAATAAAACATACCCTCAACTGTTTCTCGGACAACTAGTTATAACTGTAAGTTAGTATACAGGGCGATTTATTTAAATATGGCAAAATAAAACGGATAGATGTCCCCCCCCCCCTCGAACATTGTTCATAAGTGCAAAGAAAAGTGCATTTAAGCACACCTCATTTTTTCTAACCTCAAAAAAATCGGCCAGAAATCGAGGTTTGCAAGAAATAAATAGATTAATTAAAAATTTGGTATGTAGTGGTTTCAGATTAATGCTATATTGGATTCGTGGGAGTTTTCAGGTTCGCTAATCATGAATTTGAGTTCAGAATAGCAAAATTCAACATGGCGGAACCAATATGCCGGACGAGATTTTCCAAAAATCAACAGATCAATCCCGAATTGGATCCTGGGGGGTTTTGGAGGTTCGAATACGAACTCAGAATGGAAAATTCAACATGGCGGATCCAATATGACGGACCAGGATCCAATATGGTTGATTTTGTGGATGAATGTATGCATCTTCAGACGAATGGCTTTTTTTTTAAACAGGAATAGATGGACCTTTGAATATATGGATCTTTGGATGTTAACATAACCTGACCAACTAAATCATACACTAAAGACAGTTCCCGATGAAGTTGCGGACCCCAAACCTAACATAACTTGCTCATCTTATGCAACATGAAGCTCCTAATCAAACTGAAAACTCCAGACCTGACATAACAGGCCTAACTAAATACTATACAACAGATTTGTTTTGTTAGTAGCAACCCCCAAAACCCCCCAGGATCCAATTAGAGATGAATCTGTTGATTTTTCGAAAATCTATTCCACCATCTGTTGAATTTTGAAATTCTGATAGTGGATTCGGTTTCTATAGAATACTGTAGAATATCCTGTTTGGTCAAAACCATAATTATGACACTTTTTTTTGTGTGGCTGTGTAATTAATACCATAATTTTCTCTTAAACAGGAGGTTCCTTCAATTAATTTGTAGCTTTTTTGGATGG